ACCACGCCCGGCTAATTTTTGACTTATTGTAGAGATGAGGTCTCACCAAGTTGCCCAGGCGGGTTTCGAACCTGCGGGCTCAGACAATCTACTCACCTCAGCGTCCCAAAGCGCGGGATTATAGGCTGAGCCACCGAGCCCAGCTCCAATGATTTATTATAACTAAGTTTTGTGTTAGTTTTGTGTTATACTAGTTGCAGGCTAGTGTAAGTGTTAGGGGGTGCAGCTAAGTTAGGATGTTAGGTTGGAGGTATTAAGGGTGTATTAAGGGTTCATCAGGATCATCTGTGCTCTATCCTTGACTCCCTGGAAGAACCAAGTAATTTAGGTCACGAGCAAAGAGGAAGGCCAAGAGAATGTGACATTTCTTACTTGGGGTCACCTTTTCCATCTTTCAGAAGAAAAGTGCAGTGTACTTCTCCTATGGTGAGATTAGGGGTAGCTGGGCACGGTGGCTCACACCTGTAATCCCAGCTGAGGCAAGAGAATTGTCTGAGTCCAGGAGTTCAAGACCAGCCTAGGCAACTTGGTGACACCTCATCTCTACAGTAGACCAAAAAACTACCTGGGTGTGGTGGCACCTGCCTGTGGTTCCCGCTACTTGGGAGGCTGAGGAAGAAGGATCACCTGAGTCCAGCAGGTCGAGGCTGCAGGTGCATTCCAGCCCGGGCAACAGATTGAGACTCCTACTCAAAAAACAAAAAAAAACAAAAAAAAAAGGCCAGGCTCGGTGGCTCAGCCTATAATCCCACGCCTTTGGGAGGCTGAGGTGAGTGGATTGCCTGAGCCCACGGGTTCAAGACCTGCCTGGGCAGCGAGACCTCATCTCTACAATAAATCAAAAAATTAGCCGGGCGTGGTAGCGCGGGCCTGTAATTCCAGCTACTCGGAAGGCTGAGGCAGAAGGATCGCAGGAGCCCAGCAGGTCGAGGCTGCGGTGACAGAGTGAGACTCCAACTCAAAAAAAAAAAAAGTTCTATGTTATTTAGGAATGAGGTTATACACCCAGTTACAGACACATGGGCAGGACTGAAGTCAGAAAACACTTGTCATATGACTTTAACCTTTAGCACGATTATTTTGATGGCCCTATTTTTTAAAAATTTATTTTGTAAATACATCAGTATCCTCAAAACTGGAAAAGTCCCTAGCTCCGGAGCCCCTTCTCCACCTCCCACTCTTTGGTTCCGGCGGGTCTCTCTCCAGCACCCTTAGCAGCCGGGTAGGGCCTTCCCTTCCCCCACGCACACCCCTCCCCCACGACTTTCAGGTTCCCTGTTGGGGCCATCAATTATCCATG